ATTTATTAGACAGTTTAAAAAATAAAAAGTCAAAAATTCAAAATAAAAATACAAAAAAGCCTCTCTTCTACTAGTATGAGTCTAGTTTTTCCTGGCACAATGTAACATTTGTAAAACTTTTAAGAAAATGACATTTATAAAATCAAAATGGATCAAAATTCAGTTAAATTATTAAGTTAAAAATCGATTAAAACTGCCACAGAATGATTTCAGCAGTAAAAAATGTTTACAAGAATTTGCCGCCGGTAGCACAAGAACAGGGAAGAAGCTAAATATAGATTGGAAAACTGAAAAACCCATTGACAATTTGGTGCTAAAAAAGTTTGCTTCCAAGCTTCCTGACCTTGAGAAGAAGGTCAACACTATAAAGCCATTCTTATATATAATTCAATGTGTAAAACACTCTTTTGCCAAATCTGCTTTTGCTTTTTCTGGCCTTTTTCTCTGGAACTCTCTACCTATACTTCTCTGACTACTTCTCCATCACTTACGAAGTTCAGAGCGGATCTCAAAACCCATCTGTTTTCAAAATTCATTGAGGAGCGCTGTTGAACATCGCGGAAATAGCGCTTTACAAGCTAATTGATCGATTAATAATTTTGAGTTAATCGGATAACGCTTTGATCAGTGAAGTTTTGTCGTCACACATTTGAATATTTCGCCATTGCCGGGCCAAAACGGCCCACAAGATTCGTTCAAATATCATCACGTTAAAAAATGCGTAAAAATTTAAAATTTTGTAAGAGGAGGTCCCTTTTTGACGTTCAAAATTATTGAGATTAGATTTTTCCAATATGCTTTTACGATGATGATGCTAAATTGTTCAGTTCCATAGACTTGATGTGAGGTTAGCTTTTACAAAAATGTCTTCTTTCTTTCTTTATTTCTTTATTTATTTCTTTCTTTCTTTTTTTCTTGCTTGATTGATTTATTGGAACAAATCTCCTCCTTTGTATTTCCAGGGCTGTTAGACCCATTGAATTATATAAGAATGGCTTTATAGTGTTGACCTTCATCTCAAGGTCAGGAAACTTGGAAGCAAACTTTTTTAGCACCAAATTGTCAATTGGTTTTTCCGTTTTCCAATCTATATTTATACATAGATTACATCAGAAGCAAATTCTACAACCTTAGTTTTATCTTTATATATATATATACCTATATATATATATATATATTTCACTTTTCAAGATAGTTGAAAGACAAATTTATAATTATGTAAATCAAACATTTTGCAGTTATACAACAAATAAACAAAACCGAAATCCAGAAATAAAAAAAGTAAGACTGATCTAACTACGAGTTAAGTTAATTACTAATTATAGCAAGATAGATGTTTTATAATCAACAAACAAGAAATATAACAATTTACACATAAATACATGTTCCTGATCTAGCACCTTCAGGGTTATTTTATAAATAGTAATGTTAAACTAAAAATTATTAAACATTCCATATCTATTCTATTAAAAATCAACAGTTTTATAAAATTTAATTAAATCAATAGCATAATGAATTTCATGTTAGCTTAATATTAATTAAACTATTATTTTTTTAATATATTAATGTCAATTACAGTTGAAATAGTTAAGTTAAAGAATTTGATTTTAACAAATTATTATATAATTAATTTAATATATTAATAAATTATATATTAATCATAGCATTTAAAGTTAAAACAGAAAAAAAAGATTGTTTGCTTTTACTACCAAAAGAAATTTTAAAAACCTCTTCTGTGATTAAATTTGGTTTGGGTATGTTATGTTGAAAGCAAATATTCCTTTGTATTGTAAGCTTTGGGGTGTTGAAAGATTCTAGTTTAGGACATATGCACAGGAATTACACCTTAATTTAAAAATTATTAGTTGATTAATTTATTTATAACAATATAAATTGACCATGAGTTATATTTTTTAAATATTAATAACATTTCATTTTTACAATAAAATTTTTACCCACTTCTTTTCGTTTTCTAGATTCTAATTTAATTTAGGAATGATTCTTACTCTAAATGTCTAATCATCGTGATTCGTGGGTGCTGGGAAAATGAATGAAGAAATCTTTATTTCAGAAAAATGAGGATCGCTAACGAACTTATTACAAATCTTCGATTTTTCCGATGCATCAAAAAAATGGCAATATCCATTTAATTTAACGATTAAATACGGCACATTATAAAACCTAAAACTTCACGGAATGTTGAAAACGAAATAAATTTTAACAAACGAGCTGAATGTAGATCGGCAAAGAGTCATTAACATAACTTCGGGAAGGCCAAGATTTTTTCTAATTTTATCTCAGATTTTTCTAAAAATAAATCAAAATGCTCATGAATAATTAATTTTTAGGAACTTGCTTCCAGAGGTAACTTGCCCGTTGAAAAAAATTTTCAATGTTAATACGCTGGTAGGGCGCTTCCAGTTATATAATTTCATGGTTAGACCACAATTATCATGTTTATTTTTGTATTGCAGGTGTCGTAGATTTGTGATAAACTTTGTAGCCCTTCTTTGAACCTTCTCGGGAATTGTTTTGTCATATTCGAGATATGAACACAAAACTGTGCGCAGTGTGGTCTTACTAAGTGTTTGTATTTGATTCGTATAACATTGTTATTACAGTTGGTTAGAGTTTGTTCTCTGGTCATTTAGCTTTGAGATACAAGTACTTGTTCTCTATATAATTTTGGCTGTTTTTTAGTAAATTTTTTTAAATGAAAAGATTCGATTTGCAAGGATAGCTTTCCATACGATGTACATTGTGTGTAATACAGTTGTCGCGCATTGATTGTTTAAATTAGAAACTCTTTATAAAAGTTAATGTAAAATAGTTTTTCAGTTTTTGCGATAATGGCGGATTACATGCTGGCCACGGCAGGCGAACAAGTGAAGTTTTGGACTGTTGAAAATTGCGATGTTGTAAATACGTGGAAGCCATACGTCGGTGGTGTGCCAGCCCTAGCCTGGGCCCCCAACAATAATGTTCGTTCTTATTAATTAATTAAGACTTTTATTTAAATTAACACGGTTTAGATTCACGTCATTTATTTTAATTCTCAGTCACCAGTATAAAAATAAATCATAAAAAATAAATTCTACTTGTGAGTGGAATAAAAAAAATAAAATTGAGAAATTGGTAGATGCAAGCATTTGCCTTTTCAAAAATAAACATTGACAATAAGATAAGATCAAAACAAACCATGGATAAGTTTGTACAAACAATTTACGTTTAAAATTTATAAATATAAATTTTATGACATGATATCACTACATACATTTTAGCAACATAATGGCTGGTCTATCTTCAACTTTATCTGGCTCTAAATTCTAAGCTAAACAGGTCTGCTGAAACCTAATTGAAACTAGACTAATGACTGGAATAGAAAGTTCTGAAAAAACCAAAGACTCAAAAATTTAAGAAATTTATATATATATATATATATATATTACTGAGATTTGCACATACGTACAATCAAGCTATAATCATATTAATCATTTGAAATCATTTGTATGTCAGTTTAAAATTAAAAAAAAGTTGACTAGCCAAGAAGAAAGATAAGTCATTTTACTGAGAAAATTGTTACAATTATTTAATCATGTACACTTTGTAATTTATGTATATTACAAAACCCATTGTAAATATAAAATTTAATGAAATTTAAAATTAATGATTCTATCACACAAACTTGCATAATGTTTTTTGTAGTATGATGCATTGATGGACAGGTGGATGCAATGTGATGTAATGTTGCTATCTAAAAAGCAGTTTTCACAAAAGTGTGTACCATTAAACTAAACAGTTTATAGCATGCTTGTCATCCAGTAGCAATGAAATCAAAGTGAAGTACACTGTACCTGATATGGCAGCTTCTGATGTCACCACTATTCCAACTGAAACAGTAATAGACTTTTTTGCATTTATTATAATTGCATTTTTTTCATAAGTGTTGAATACAGGGCTGGATTGGCAGGTGGGGAGGGGGCAATTGGTAATAGGAGGTCCCTAATTATTTAATGGAAGCCTGTAATTATTATGATTATTTGATATTTTTCAGACTCAATTAAAAAATATGTTACATTTATTTTCTTGTGGGGGCCTTTTTTGGGTGTAGCCCAATTTGCCTTGTCTCAAATCTAGCCCTGCCTGAACTTCTACTTATCTATGTTATATTATTTGTATAGCATTATGTTGCATCACAGATCTTTTACAATTAGTTTCAGTTTGTACATAGCTTACAAAATTCAATTTTTCATTAGAAACCTAGGTTTGCTACACTATATCATCATTATCCTTAATGATTTAAATGAAATTTTTAAAAATTTGTGTTGAAGACAGGCAAGCAGTGCTTAACAATTGATTCATCATCCCGTCTCATCCTGGCTGGTGGAAGTAATGGCTTGCTCCACCTGTGGGATATCAAGTCACAAAAACTTAGGAAAACTTATAAAGTCATTATTTTTACCTCGATTCATTGTTGGTTTCTTATCGATTTTTGTTTGTTTGCTTATTTGTTTTATTGTATGCTAACTTCTTCATTATTCATCAACAAAATGAAATTTGTAATTATTATCCAGCAAATTGTACCCAAAGTATTGGCATGTGTATACATATAAGTATATCTTTATTTATTTAGTATCTAATTAGTTTAATTGCTGACACGTTTATTTCATTATATATTTAGCGAGATTATAATAATTTATTCAGTATCTTTAAAACAAAACTTCAGCATGCAAGTTGCAAAAGTATGGTGACATCATGCCAGTACAATCTCGATGATTGCTTAATTGCTGCCAGCCACGAAAATGGAGATGTCATCTTTTACAATGCCACCTCCTCCGTTGCCACTGGACCAATCAGTGCCAACAACAAATCTGTCAGCTGTTTTAAAATTTTCAAATCTTCTCTTTTTCTACATCTCTTATGAATTATAATTGTGAAATTTTATTTAATTAATGTTCGTTTTTTTTAAGTTTCATCTCCATTTTGTTGCTTTTTTAAAATTTTTCTCTTTTAATATCTTTCTTGCCTTAATCTATCGACTTTAAAAATAATAATCCATTGATTTGCACTGCGACCAACCAGGCCATAAGATGTTTGCGATTCAGTTACTTCTGCTCGAATTTGCTGGCCACAGTGTCTGACGATGGCGCGACACGTCTGTGGGATGCCACGACACGCACACACCAACACACCTACAAGAACACACATGGTGCACCAGCAACATCTCTTGCTTTTTCACCGTTCAACCAGCTACTCATGTTGACTGCTGGTTTGGACAAAAAAGTCGTCTGCTACGATGTCATCAGTAAAAAGTGAACAACCATTTGTTATATAACTAAGTTGCCTATTAATTTTTCTTTTCAATTTAGTGTGCATTTGTCTAGTTTTGTTTTTTGCTTCATTTTATTCATGATTTCATGAAATTTTATAATCAAATAAATCTCTAAAAGTCTTGAAGAATTATAACTAATATGTTACAAAAAAATTGGTTTGATATCTTAGTTTTATCTTATTAGTTCATTTCAGATGTTCATTAAAATTCGATAGTTTCAAATGTAATGATTAATTCATTATCAATCACATTGAACAGAAGTCTCAAGTCGGTGTCAGTGGACACTCCCCTCACCTCTATTGACATCTTTCCAGATGGCATCACAGTTGCCGTGGGGACGACTCGAGGTCAGATAATATTTTACGACCTGCGCAAAGGTTTCTCACAGTTCATGAAGAAAACAGCTCACACAACAAGCGTTCACTGCCTCACTTTCCAGAAGAAGGTAAATAGATTTAGATCAAACCAGTAAACGTTGTAATATAGTTGCTCATTTATTCACTCATGATGTTATAATTTTGTTTTGGTTGAGGTATACAAAGATAACTGTGCTATTAAAAAATTATAATATTTTTTATTTATAATAATTCCTTTCTTTCATGGTCATAGGCACCATCGTCACAAACGAAATCAGTTCAAGAAACCAAATTGAAATCAGTAAAGGAAAGTTCAAATGTCATTGTTAGAAACGTTTCACCAGAGAAGCTGAAAGACATGACAAATCTCAACGGTAATGAGTCTTATTATGTATTTATTTGTACTACCTTTTATAAATTGCATAATTAGATACATGTGTTTATGTGTTTGTTTTCGTATATGTTGATTATATCAATAATAGTCTGACCCATAACTGATGGAGACTATAAACGAGGATTGAATGATTGTCTTTGTATATGTTGATTATATCATTTTTTAAAATGATTTACATAGCTAGTTGAATTGGTAGCTATTAAACTTAATGGGACTAACTAACACCTGTTGTCACACTAGAGGTTCTTAACTTAGATCCCACAATGTGCTCTTCTGAGTTTTCACTTTTTGCTGGTCAAATACTTTTAATAATGTAAAAAAAAAATTGAAAAAACTTCCAACAGGACAAAATACGTTCTGTTATTGGTTATTATTCATTAGATCATTTTACGACAAATGTTGGATTATGTTGTATATTGTTAGCTGTTACATTATTATTATTTTATTACCTTTCTGTGAGGTCATTGTTTCTTATTCCTCATCAGATTCTCCACTTCAAAAAGTTCCATCGAACAAAGTTGAGTCAGCAGCTGAAAATTTATTCTCACCTCACAGGGATCATGGTATGTTTAAAAATGAAAATATTTTCATTAGAAATGAATTAGATCATCTAGACATTATTTTGTGACATTGGAGTTTCAAGATTTGTGGCTTTTGAACCCTCAAGTTTTGTTTTTACAATCTTCTACAAGACAGCTTTCTGGCGAACCACACACCTGATCATTTGAACATTTCAAAGTGCACGATGGACAGGGGAGATAGGGATAGCCTACAAATGTTTGAAAGTTACAACAGGCTATCTGATATCAACAATGGTCTCTATACTTTATTTTATTTCTGCTTCACTTTTTAATGTTACTTCTAATTAGATACATTTATGACAAATATTGGATTATTCTGCTAGGCATTGATTGTCAGCATCTTTTTTCCATTTGTATATGCTCTATTTCCATTTATATATGCTCTAGTCTGACCCAAAACGGATGGAGACTATAAACGAAGATTGATTGATATGCTCTATGTTGATTTTTTTGGTAGCATGTGGTTATAAGATACAATCTACCTACTTTCATCATATTTGGCTCTTTTTATAATCAATATATTTACTTAATAATTCAACCAGTCATCTTCTCACCTATTGTCTCTGACCCAAACAACCATTCATCCACAAACCACTCCTTCACTCCATCTGATGTTAAGATGCCGCCATTATCTTTAGACACTTCCGAGGTATTTTTTGGCTTTGGTTGATTTTAAAATTTGCACTAATTATAAATAGAATAAATATATAGTTAACTTTATCAAAGTAACGAAGATGACTGTTATAATAAGTGAAAAGTCAGCTTTTTCAGGTTCTAAAATGTTTGATGACATTGTGATAGATAATAAAATATAAACAATAAGTAGAACAGCATTGAAAGACGTATGCAAATAGAGTATGCGTGATTGTTGTTGTTAACATGGTAACCCATCACTGCTGCTGTTTTAATAGATAATTTTGGCATGGTTTTCATGTTAGCAGATAGTAAGGTGTGGATTTGAATGGTTAAGTTACTGATCATGCATCAGAGGAAGCACTAAGTTTAGTTAATGGAGTGAAGTTTTAGAAGTAGATATAGCAGGTAATAACGAGTAGAGTTATTTGATATTTCACTCAGCTACTGAGTAATAGAAGATGAAAGCTTGTTGATGAATATGCATTAAAATTTAATATTTTTTAAGGAGTTAAAATATGTTTACCAATTAATATAATGAAATAGATGGATCTTTTGAGGATGTCACTGAATGCGAGCTTCGTGAAAGATATCAGTTCATCCTCTCAAATGCAGATTCAATTCAGTTAGTTGTATAAATCATTTTTTCCTAATTTTAAAATGATGTTTATAATAATTTGCTGATTTTGTTTCAATAAGACAACATCGGTGCTCAAGCAATGGAAAAAATTATAAGCTCTCCAGTTCAACAAACAAGTTCACTTCCAACACAAATGTCGTCCAGTTTAAAAACGTCAACTCTACAAAATCTCGACATCAGCAGCATTGGTGACAAAATCATTCCTCAAAATATTGGAGACAAATGTCTAAAAGATGCCAATTCAGTAGATTCAACCAAATCCAAAACCGCTTTATCAGTTGCTAATGAAAAACTCAAAGTTCGTTTCAATGACAGCACAGTTAACTATAGCTTGGACAGTTCCGTGGGAAACGAAACGGCTGCTATTCCCGTTGCATACTTGCAGGGGGGATCATTTCCAGTTGAATTCATTAGGAATGTCATTAGAGATGAGATGGAGGAATATTTTGAACAAATGCGTGATTGCGTTGTCAAGTTGCAGGCTGAGATGATTAAAAAGTTCTACCACCAGCAAATTGAGATGGAAAAATTGTTAAAATCATATTCTGTCAATCCTGATTTGATTTCAGAAATCAATCGGTTGAAAGAAGAAAACGAAAATCTTAAAAGAAACTATACTTTCTCTCAACTTAATAAATGATTTATTTTTTTTTTACTTAATTCACGACTTTTACTTTTAAATTTATTGAATTTATACAAACTGTAAATACCTCTGTAATTTAGTTTTGTAGTTATCATGAGCTGTTCACAAAATTAGTGCCTTAAAAAATTGAAAGTAAACATGTTTTAATTAGACAACGTCGCTGTTTAATAGATTCTAATTGTATAACATTGTAAATTGGTGTCAGTCAATCATTTTTTGCCCCATATGCCCAGTGTAATACTCACTTATGAATAGCATACTTCGCATCTCAAGAAATTCAGATTACCCTTGCTAAGGGATTCTTTCAAGAGATGATCAAGATCGATCGATACTTATTGTAATTTTTCAAAATTGTCTTCCTTTGGCCATTTTATTGGTCTCAACTTTCGCTATGACGTTCTGTGATGCCTCGTTCCATGTCTAGGCCAGTTCTTACTCTTTTTGTAGGGACAGTTTTAGTCTTTCTACAAATATGTTTGAAAATATCGACTTTTCATCCATTTTCATGTATACTATTTAATTTTCTGTACTGGTTACTTGTGATCTTTCTTCTCACTTTCTTCTGTCTACTAGAATTAATTCCCGTCATCTTTCTGCAGCTCATCAAACCTGCTTTTGCTTTGTCTTTATACTTCAGATTTCGCATGCGTATGATACAATGGTGGAAGAAGTAAGTTTATGTTTATATTTAACCTTCGTTTCAATTTAGATATAACTTTTTCTAACTTCTCCAATAATGCTGTTATCAAAATATTCTTGATTGTACTTTGTTTGAAACGTACTTTGTTTGAAATCTGCTTTTGCTTTTTCTGGTCCTTTTCTCTGGAACTTTCTACCTACTTCTCTGACTACTTCTCCATCACTTGCGAAGTTCAGAGCGGATCTCAAGACCCATCTGTTTTCAAAATTCATTGAGGAGCGCTGTTGAACATCGCGGAAAAATAGCGCTTTACAAGCTAATTGATTGATTGTACATGTTCATTCAAGTGTTGATCTGTGTTTAAAAGCGTTCGTTCTTCGATGATAGGCAAAGACAAACAGCCAATTTGAATTTTCATTAAAAAATGCATTAAAATTTAAATGAGGTAGTAATAATTACAAACATGGCAAAATTCAGGTTAAAATCTGAAAAAATTTCTAACTTATGCGAAAAGTTCTTGCTTATCTTAATTGAAATTTAGTGTAAATAGGGACTAGATGTAAAATAAAACTGATGAATGATTGAGAAAAAGCATATTTTAAAAGATAAATTTAAGAGATAAGCTTAAGATTATTTTCATTTGCAGACAGCATGCGTGTATTTTCAATTTCCAACTGATTTCTATTCAGGTGATAAAAATATTTTTATATCTGCTGTTTCTATGTTAAAGTTTTTTCCGTATATTCTTTCTATGCGTGATTAGTTGTCTAATTTGGCTGTTTTTTTTATTAAAGTTTTATATTATTTGCCTTGTTCTTTTTTGTCTAGTTGTTAGGTTAGTTCGAGAAGTTTTTAATGCTTTTTTTTTAAATTAATTGCAGTTTTTAACTCATTATGTCCTAAAATTTTTTCAAATGTTCATGAAATACCCCGTTGATTTGACGGCGTCCATCTTTGTTTATTAAAATTTTTGTCGCGAAACTGAATTGTCGGTTAATGGGTGATACTTAATAGTTATTCAAATGCAAATTTTTATGTAGATGTATAAAATTTAATAAGGCTGGTTGTCATTTTTTTAAAAGGCTTCTTTTTAGAATGAGGGAATACAAGCTGGTCGTCCTGGGCAGTGGTGGTGTTGGAAAATCAGCTCTGGTGAGTATTTTGTTTTTGATTACTAAAAACTAATGATGCCAGTTAATTAAAGTTTAGACAAATAATTATATAATATATAGTTTTTTATTTGTTATTTATATAAAATTAAAAAAAATGATTTATCCCATTCTGAAACATTGATTATTAATTTAATATTTAATTTTATGTAAGTAAATAATGATTATTATATTTTATCATTTTTAAAAGCTGTATGTTTTGTAAGTAAAATGATAATTTAATTTTTTAGTGAATTGGACATTTTATTTAGTAAACTATTTATTTTTTCAGACAGTGCAGTTTGTTCAAGGAATTTTTGTTGAAAAATATGATCCCACAATAGAAGACAGTTATAGAAAAGTGATAAGTATCATTTTCTTAATTCTGAATTATAAATTTAATTTATAATTCAATTGTTTCACACTCCCGTAGATAGTTAAATTTTCTTCCATTTCTGATTTTTAAGTTTTTATTTTGTTTTGTCTATGGTTAATTTGTACTTTTATTTGGACCAGCACGTTGAAATAGACGGTCAACAGTGTATGCTGGAAATATTGGATACTGCTGGAACTGTAAGTACATTTCTATTCAGGCACTTATTTTCAAATATATCAATTTGAAAGTATTTCAATGTTAGACTAAGCAATTAATTATTAACAATTTTTCCATATAGGAACAATTTACAGCCATGCGAGATCTGTACATGAAAAATGGACAAGGGTTCTTACTGGTTTATTCCATTACTGCTCAGTCAACTTTCAATGACCTCCAGGACCTGAGAGAGCAGATCTTGAGAGTCAAAGATTTAGAAGAGGTTTGTAATGATTTGTACTCATGTGGTTGTATTAATGTTTCGAATACATGTGGTTGTATCTGTGTAGATAAAATAATGGTTTTACAATTTCTTTGGTGCGTTAGAATCTATTTTCTTTTTCAGAGTTCTGATTATTGAATGCAAGTTGAATAATAATAATGGCTGTGATATGTGTGTATGTATGCATTTCAATCTTGACTGGAAAATGGTAAGAATGCAAAAACTCCGTTGTTGTCTATTGCCTTTTAAATTTGGATCTTTTCATTTTTAATATATTTCGAAATAACTCACTTAAATTGGTTTTTTTTTCAAAATAGAGTAAAATAGAGTACAATAAATTGTTTTGACTTCATTTATTTACATGGTTGGTTTGTTGCCACACATAACTACTTTGGTGTATAGTTGATTAGCATGCACTTGATCTGAAGTTTCAACAAATTTGGTTCAAGTGTTGCACACTACTTTTCTTGATGAACATAAGAAGGGAAGGCTGCATCTTCCATATACATGCATATTCATTAACCTAATTGAAAGCACCTCTTGTTATCTGCTCTGCTGGCAAATATTAAACTTATATTATGTATACAGCTTTATTGTACTACTTAGAAGAATGTATAGTATAAAAAGTTTTATGAATTGTACATTTATGAAATTTTTACCACATTAAATTGTTCAAAGATGCTGGACATATTTTGAGGAGCAGATTGTTATTTTTTTTTAAGTTATGAGATTGAAAAGATAAATATGAAAGATGGAGTGAAACTGAAATTTGTATCCTGAACAATGAAATATGATACTCTAATGGCTTTTTTTTATATTTTATTTTATAAAAAGTATCATTCCTATTATCTAATATTTTTGAAATTCATTTTTTCTATAAAACTTTAGGGATACATTATGTAATAATTATTTTTCTACAATTTTTGAAGTGTCCTGTCGAGATAATTCTGAATTCTACAGTTCATATCCTTTCTTTATAAAAAATTTATGCAATAGGAACAGCTATTTAACAAAAACAAGAAAATAATTAAATGATTTATGTTTTTTTTATTTTTTTAAATTGTTATTTTGGTGGCATGTTTAGGATGTAATTATTACTAAAAATTAAAATAATTTATCATTGAAAGAATTGTTATATACTATATTAATATCTTACTTCCCCAAAAAATTTCAGTCTTTTCATTTGTGTGCTTAACCAAACGTACATAAAATAATTACAGTTTAATTGCAACAACCTGTCTTTTGTTGTTCATAAGTTTTTTTTTTACAGCTGAGATAATTGCCAAATGTGTTTTGTTTTATTTTAAAAATATGACAGACATGCAGTAAGTGTTAAATACTTATTTGTAATAAACTATATCAAGTCATTAATTAATATTGCTACTTATATGTTTAATTTGATTGTTGTTATTGTTACAAATTCTTTGTAAATTGCTCTTATGAAGGTTCCAATGATTTTGGTTGGAAACAAGTGTGACCTGGAAGATGAGAGAGTTGTGGGCAAAGACCAGGGACAGAACCTGGCTCGTAGTTGGAACTGTGCATTCCTTGAAACATCAGCCAAATCTAAGCTTAATGTCAATGAGGTTGGTTGCAGTAGTGTTTTGTTAGGATTATTTGGCGATTTTGTATTCTTTTGCGTATTGATTAGTTAATTTATGTTTGTACATTCTCTCTACAGCTTATCACCACACCATATCAATAATAAGACTGGAAAAATTGAATTGTAAATTTTTAAGGCTCAAATATATCCACACCTATAAAAACATGTGAAATGCTGATGGTTAATTTTCATATGAATCTATATGATTGACACATTGCGCAAAGACATTTTATAAATTCTCCACATAATCTTAGGTATAAGTTTTGTTGTCATCACTACATTATAACTTCATGTAATCGCTACATTAATGTATTGTATTGTATTGTAGACTTGTAGAATGTATCTACTGAGCTCTCTTCAGAGACATTACTACGTCATGTCATCACTACATTACAATTTAATTCAGTTTTTTTATATTTTTTTGTTTGCTTTTAATATTCAATTGCATTTTTAACATTTGTTGGTTTACAGTTCCTGTATGTTGTTTAGCTCAAAAAGCAGTGCTTTGAAATAAAATATCTGATGTACTATTAAGACATGTGAATGAAGTGCTGCAAGGTATGAATGAACTGATGATAAATAATTAATGATTGTTATTTTCTTTACAGATATTTCATGATTTGGTTCGTCAGATAAGTAAAAAAACACCTGAACTGAAGACAAAGCAAAAGAAGAAATCATGCTGTCTCTTGTAAGGCCTTCAATGCCAAGCTTCATTCAATAACAAATATATGTTCATTCACGTGTCTATTTATTTATATTATTTATCTCTTGAATAAAGAACGTAAGGTAACTCAGTTAGGTTAACGTGGGAAAGTTATGTTTTGTCTGTGTCATTTATATTTTTAAATTGGTAAATTATCATTGGTTAACATGTAGAGAAGAATAAGAAACGTGTGTGTGTGTGTGTATAAATATATATATATATATATATATATAGTTAAATATATGTGATGGTATGTGTTTGTTTATGTATTACAATATAGTAGTAATATAGATAAGTTCATGTACCCTGTCGTGTACCAATATGAATATTAATTACTTAATTATTTTTTTTATTTTACCATCCAATCAAGAATTTTGGTTTTATTTCCAATACCTGATTGAACATGTTTCTTCTTGATTTATCTTCATTTATCATAATTTCCATTTAAATGCTTTTGTTTCTGCAAGCGCACACACTCGAGTACAGTTATATAATGAGAAAAGGTTTAAATTATGCATAGGTTTGTGTTGGGTGCCATTATGTTGAGTGGTTATGTTTTGTGGTTATGATGGTGTTTGGCTTTTTATTTTCTTCAAGTAATAATTTGAGATTACGGCTAGGAATGTATTGAGTGAAATGATCTATAAATTTTCCATTTTACGGCTTGAATTGGCGTCTCTAATGTGGCAGAAATTTATAACAAGTTATTTATTTTAGTTTGATAGTGCAAATTGAGCTTTATTGAAGTTTTGCAAGGATCAATTATGTTCGTCTGAATACATCCACTTAATTATTTTTCGATCAAATCTTGTCATTTTCGTTTTTTATATAAAGAGAAAAAATTTTGAGTTTTGTTCAATATTGTAAAAATTAAATTTAATAAGGTATGCATTTTATTTCTCGTTAGAATCATTACAGTATCCATATATCAAATACCCAGCTTGTATCTTTAGGACCATATATTTTTTCGCTAAGTGAACTTGAGACGTAATTGTCAAGTGGATATTGGCACGTAACATCTTGTGGTTCATCACGTTATCAATTTTGTTCAGTTAATTAACGAATAGTTAAATTATTCGTTTCTTATTTTGTTGATGGCAAGTCAAATGTAGAGAACTGATTTCCATTAATCACGCATTTTTTTTGTAATAATTTATTTATAGTAATATAATAATAGTATAACCTTAATTAGAAGGTTCGTAAATGTTGGTGAGCCTACTTTTTTCAGTATTTTACTTTCGTCCCCAGCCGTTTAAATTGCTTTTTATAACATGTGGTATGTGCTCTTGAATTTTTTCTTACCGTCATTTCGCTGCAATGTTGTTTATTCGCATAGTTTATGATCACGTAATTGTGTTTTCAATGGTATCTTATATGAATGAGCCATTTGAATATTTTATTGCTAGTTACTTTTTATTACAATTACTTCTATATAAATTATATCTGTTTTTAATTATCACGCTAGATTTTTATTGAATTTTCATGTAAATACATGTAAATGTATTTGACGATTCACTAAATTGAAATAAATTCTTGCATATTAGTTGCTTGTTTCATAAAATCTAAAAAATTGGTAATTTGATTAAAAATGTTTAAATCCAGTCAATAATATAAGAGACACTGGCATAATAATATCTTGGATTTTATTCTTTTTTATGTCAACTCAAAGTCAAGGAGTTCATAGAAAGGCACAGAATAATTTCTAAAATAAATAGAAAGTGGTAGCGAAACACTGAGCAGATCGAGTCTATATTAACTAGAAACGGCTGATGTTAGTGGTGAAGATAAAAAATTGGGGCTGTAATCTAAAAATTTAAAATATAACCTTTAAATGATAGAAAAAACAATTTTCCGAGTGACTTACGTAGCAAGGACTTTTTTGTAGGAAGGTTGAGATTCAGCTATATTTTAGGAAAAAATTATCTGAAGTAAATTCTTTGATTTTTCAAAATCTTCATGAATTTTCCGAACGGTGCGTAGCAACTTTGTTATCCTCTAAGGAATCAATCAATCAAATCTTGATAAATCTGCATTTGCTTTTTCTAGCCCTTTTCTCTGGAACTCTCTGCCTCCTTCTCTGACCTCTTCATCTGTTCAAAATTCATTGAGGAGCGCTGTTGAACATCGCGGAAATAGCGATTTATAAACTAATTGATTGATTATAAGTCATTGAATCCGCAAATTTCAGATGGTGCTACAGCTTTTACGAATGACAACATCATCACAAGCTGCCGATTTAGCAGTTACTTTTAAAAGTGCCATCTGAACAAAAAAAGGTCAAGCAAACTACAATGATAGATAAATTAGAGTTAAGGTCCCTACAACACACACTCAGATTATATGCATAGGCTGCACAGACAAAAAACGCATAAAATTGCTTAAACAATTTTGTCCATACACACCACGAACTTTCATTCATTTTTTTTCTCAGTCTTGTTTGAAAACTTGCGTACCCGTACTACATTATCACAATATTGTAATATATTGCAGTTTTACATTATCTTAAATTTTTATTTTGTACCTCATTATACCTCATATATATCTTCATCAATACAATTATACATTTCTTCAGTATTATCAACACAAAATAATCTGAAATATTCTACAATTCATCAATCATCTGACATAGTATGGGAACCCGGATTTTGAAGAATTCAGATGAAGACATGTTGTAGAAAATTTAGGTTTGATATATATATATATATATATATATATATATATATATATATATATATATATATATATATACATGCACTGATCATTAAGTTGTAATCACTAAGCATTATTAAAGGTCAAACAAAGAGACTGGTGGGAGAACCACTAAACATTGAAAAGCAATAAATTATCAACAAGTTAAAAGTTGTCATAATTCCTACTAATTAGATTCCCAATAACGATTTTAAATATATAGAAATGAAAATCGAAGAAAGATTTTTCAAAAACTATTTCCAAACTGCCTGTATTATTTTTAATATAACATTTAATAATTATAATTGAATGTTGAAGTTTTAAATTCAACTGCTGGCTATTTCAGGAATGCCAATCTTCTTGGCTCTTTCCAGCAATCTTTTTTCTCTTTCAAATTCCTTCATCCTCAAAACGTAACTAGATTTAAAAGAACAGCAAACATTAATAAAGATGTACACGAAGTTGAAAAATAAATAAATCTAAAAAATTATATTATAACTTATTTAAATTAAATATTATTATTAAGGAATGATAACATACTCATCATATTCACAGTGAGAATATGCATTTCGTTCGTCTTTGCAGAAGTAAGTTAGAGGAAACTTTTGCTCTCTGCATGCAAAGTACTTAATCAAGAGATGTGAACAATAATCCCTATTTTCAGGTGGTATGTTGGCTGCATTCAACTCTTCCTCTGTAGCAATCATTTCTAATGAATAACAAAACAAATGCTTACTCTTTAATGTTCAATAAACTGGGAATCTCAAAATTATTCAATTAACCTTAAAGTTCAAAATTATTAATATCTAAAACATTTTTCAACGTGCAACTAACTTGAGTAGTTTTATTGTTTACTGTATTAATTGGCAATTCAAGTCATTGTTCATTTTTATATTGATTAAAATAGTATAATTAAATTATTTATAATATATTTATTATAATTATAAACAACTACTTTCATAACTTTATAACTCAAAACTTCAACTATCAATATTTTCTAAGTTAAAGCAAACTTTGGTTTTTAATAAATAATAATATAAGATAAAATTATAAAATAACTGATATAAAATTTTGTTAGTTTTATTTTAAAAGATTCAAGGCAATTTAATTAAAGATCAAAAAATGAAGATTAAACATATTATATTATATAAAAATAAATTAAAGTTAAACAAATTTTAAAAATTAAATATTTTTTAATTTTAGGCTTAAAAATAAAAGCCTAAAAAAAATTTCTAGTATCGCTTCTTAAAATCTATTAGTTAGATTCTAACTACACTAACTAACTAAAACACTAACTAAAACTAAAAGTTTTATTGATTGAATTTATTAATTATTTAAATTAAAAATTGGAAAAAAAAACAAAAACTTACTAAATTATAATTTAGATTTCATAAAAAACAAAACAAAAATTTAATAACTAAAAAAATTATTTATGAAATAATAACAATTTGAATTGAGAACAGAACAAAAAACTGACTTCTAGGAACGCGAGGTTTGTCGAAACCGTACTGGGGATCAAAGATGGGATCTTTCTGATAATCCGGACGAATATCTGGAGACAACCAGAATGCATTTGAGGTAGCAGCCCCCATGGTTGGCGATCCAGCTAACCTTCAACTTTCAATCAAATTAAATTCACTTTTACATAAAAACACAGAAACAACTAACAGGCGTAGGAATGTTGATTGATGCATTGCAGCTCAACATTAAATACAAAATGTAAAAAAATGTGGGAAATGTATAGGAAAATGATGTAACAAAATTTCCCATAAAAATGCATTAAACCAAATTTTTTCAATCTGGAATTATGTGCTCAGGTTTGTAGTTCACATCTGCAAAATGACAGACCATGGATATCCATGGTACAGACATTCTGGAAAGGTACATCGGAGAGCAACAAAGATGATCAAAGGTCTGGGAAAACTTCAATACAAAGACAGATTGAAATAATGTGGATTAACATCTTAAAAAAAGAAGATGCAAAAGGGATCTGGTTTACACATACAAACTGGTTAACGGGAATAAAGAAATCACACCATCCACAAGATTCTTCTGGCCAAAGTAGTCAGGGATTCAAACTTTTTAGGAAAAGAGAAAGTTCAATCAAGTAAAGATTCTTAAATGTTGCTAAAAAAGTAATAAAAGCTTAGTAATAAAAGACAATCTCTGTGGAATCAACCAGCAGTATCAAGATCAAACTTTGAAAGCTGGGATACTACGAGAGCTGGGATACTAAGACAAACCTTGTCTAGTGAACCTCTTTAAACACTGTTATGCTTTGTTAGATAAATTTCTAAATTTTACTAATGTTTTAACTGGCCTAACTAATCTAATTACACAAATTCCACCCGTAAGTTATTTATAGAAGTGTGGTGGCCTTATGGCAAAAGCATCAAAATTATAGAGGCCCCTGAGTTTACTTGTTCTTTATGATGCAGCTTTGTCTGACAGACGTAGAACTGCAAAGACCTTACTTACCGCACTACACGTTGCACATACATATTATGTATGTACGCGCATAGCGTTCGATAGTCTAAGATTCCGGCAGACAGTATTCGAACCAGGCCATGGCGTAACAGCACGTGACGTGACACTTCTACTGGCTCGCCAACCAAATGTTCCAAAAGAGCAACTTTTTCTTGTAGATTTTTTGTGTATGGAAGCTGGAAGCACAGAATTTAGGAGTGGAATTAAGTAGAAATTAACATATACTTAGAATTTAATCAAAGAGGTTGTCACACAGGTAGGGTTTGTGTTTGCCGACAATATGCATGCAGTGTGTTTATCTATTTATATACGCGTTCACTTTTAAACTATTAATTGGGCACCTTGAACAGTGGCAAGTTGCATGCATGGAGATAGGTTGGATTCATTTTTATTTTTAATTTTCTTTCGAATGGCACCGTCAATTAGTAAATGCATCTATTAAATTATTTTTTAAATTTTGCGATAGTTTATTTGCTTCTTTTTACTTTACTTAGCTTATTATGACGATAACCTCTGTTGAAAACTGAGAAATAAATGTTATTTAAAAATTTTTTAAAAACTTGTCTTTTAAACATTAAATTAAAGATTAAACTTTAATTAAACATTATAAAGTTAAAAAAATTAGGTTAATCCAATGAATTTATAATATATATTTATTATTTAAATCAATTAATTTATATTAAATTTTTAGTTAAAACTTTTTAAATTCCTTGGTTAGACATGACAAAATCTCAAGAATTGGTCTTCTGTCTTCTTAACAAATTGACTAATGTCTAATGCTAATCTAATCTAATATCAGATTTTATTTATAATTTATTTTATATGGTTAAAAATAAAATTTCATTAAATATTGTTAATTTACTTACAGACACACACCCAGTTTTTATGACTTATTTGATATTTGTTGTTGTTTTTTTTAATATAAAAAAATTTATTTCTAAATTTTTGATTGGAATTTGGGATTGGATTTATTTGTTTTTCATATCTGTATGTCTATTTTTTATGAGTTATACACATGCATATGTGTGTATGTTTGTAAAAACCCATAGAGTCTGAGATTCAACCTAGGTATAAACTTATATTTGTTTTTAAAAACTTACAATATTGTATTGATGTTTTAAAAATTTCAGTTAGAGTTAGGATATATATGCCTATAACAATCAGTAAGATTTTCTAATTCCATCATATAAATCTTTTTCATAACTTTGATTTCATTATTCTTATTAAACAATCTTTAAGGATAAGCTTTGTCCTTATTAGATTGTACAATAAAAATAAATACTGCATTTATACAAATTTATTCTGTATAAATATTTCCATATGGATTTTTTGTTAGTAAAGTACATAGGTGCATGCCACTATTTTATAATTTAATAATGCTTTTTTATTGAAGATAAAACAAAAGAGGTTGTTCTGAGATGTGCTATAATCATGGTTGGCCTACCAGCCAGAGGAAAGACCTACATGTCAAAAAAGTTGGCCAGGTATCTCAACTGGATTGGATACAGAGCCAAAGGTTCTTAGAGTTAATATATGAATCTTTAGCACACATACAGACATACCAACCAACAAACAAACAAATACACATTCACACAAATTTGCGTGTGCGTGTGTGTGAGAGTACATATGTGTTGTTAGAAATTCTTACTATCATCATTTTATATAATAACCTGCATTTTAATTAAACAAAAATTGTTTAAAGGGATTGGTGTTGCATTATTTCAACTTCTTTGTTTAACTCACAAACATTTTACCTTTTCTTGTAGTTTTTTTTCTAGCAACAAAAAAGTGTTCAAAAGTATGAAGTTCTGATTCAAATTAAATTAATTCATATCCATTTTCTTCAGCTTAAAGCTCTGCATTGATTTGTTTGTTTAATTTTGTGCTGGTCATGTCACCAAGATCAACATTCCACCACATCGGCTGTTCAGCCTACTTTAGTCTCGGAAAGTTTTTCTGTCAGACTTTCTATGTCATGTCATAATTGAGATGAATGACTCCAAGAGCCAACTCTTTTTACAATTTCCATTTGTCTCAACCATTCCATTATTTGATGTTTTCATAACTGATTAATTAATTTTCATTCAATGTACTTTCCATTCAGTTTTCAACGTTGGTGAAGCCAGAAGACAAGAAATCCCCACTTCCATCAATAATGCTGACTTTTTTAGGGCTGACAATTCAGATGCCATTGAAATGAGAAAGTTGTTCACATTATCATTCTTTGCTTTTTAATGCTCACCAATTCAATTCTTTTTTCATTTGTGTTTTTTTAATTAGCAAATGTGCAATGAGTGTGCTGCAGCAGATGTTGCAGTGGATGAAAGATTCTGGACCATCTATTGGGGTCTCTTTCAATTTTTTTAAATTATTTTCTTATTAATCCTTTATGTTCTTGCTTTTTTTGTTTACAACTTGCAACTTCTGTTTCCACATCAATGTGTTAATATATCTTTCTACATGAAATCTTACTCGGTGTAATGTTTGTTTCACGTTGGTGACCATTGCAGATTTATGATGCCACAAACTCAACGAAAGCTCGAAGAAGGTTGATACTGGAGCACCTGATGGCTGTCCACAACGTGAATATCTTGTTTGTCGAGTCATTATGTGATGATCCTGATGTCATTGAAACCAACATTAAGGTCGTGCCAATCAATTTTATGATTCTTCATCATTTTCATCCACATTTAAACCATCTAATTTAATCATCATTTACTCAATGGAGCTTTGTCTACTTTTAACCAACTCCGTTTTCTGTTGAACTTTTCAATGAGATCAAACATTTTGATTTGTTTTTTCTTTCAAGTGTTCTGACTCTTTAAAATACTTTTTAGTGTTTAATCATTTTAACATTTATATTTTATTAGATGGTATTATGTTATTTGAATATGCAGCTAAACAATTTTCTTTTCAGGATGTTAAAATAATGAGCCCGGATTATGAGAATGTGAGTCGAGAGCAGGCTGTAGAGGACTTCAAGCAAAGAATTAAATATTATGAAAGGTCTTACGAGCCTCTTGACATTGACTATGATAAAAACATCTCCTTCCTGAAAATATTCAACCTAGGCTCAAAATTTATTGCCAATAAAATAAAAAGTTAGCCTTATGAAACTTTTCATTTTAAGAAACTTTCATTGATTTATAAAACTTCATTGGATGATGGAGCGTTTTTGAATGGCTTTGGGAACTCATTAGAACGTATGTATGGTTTACTGGTTAAACTGTTAACAGATTACGTTGAAATTGTTCATTTAATTTCTGCTATTTTCTTTTACGTTCTATATTTTTTTTAAATAATAATAAATTAATTAATTTTACTGTTTGAAATTTTATTCTAATTGTTTTAGTGTTATGTTCATAGACAACGATTTTTGAATAACAAATATTTTATTAAATTATTAAAATGAAAAAAAGGATTCAATAGAATTTGCAGTTGTATCTACTTTGCATTTGTGTTATAAAATTTGCAATCGTATCACGAATCTTTGTAGGCCACATGCAGTCTCGCATCATCTATTACTTCATGAACATAAGTGTTCTTCCTCGAGTCATTTACATCACCAGGGTCAGTTAATTTTCACTCTAGGGCTTTTTTTAATGCCTAAAAGACTAAATAGATCGTTGTACATATATCATCCAATCAGTCAACCAACCAATCAATCAATCAAATATTTTGGCCACTTTATTTGAGTGATTTATTTTACATTGGTGCAGCATTTATATCTATAGTTTTCTACCTACATATTCGTGAATAATTTGAATTATGATTTTTTTATATCATACGCTTTCTTAAGAGATGTTGCTTTTTTTTGAGAAATGGTTGGAAGTAAATTGTATTTGAATTAATAGTGTAATGATGAACGTAGGCAGGTGAAACCAATGGTAACATGATGGGTCTGGTCGGTGGGGATGATGACCTCTCTGATCGGGGCATTCAGGTTGGTTCATATTGCTTTGCTAGCCAACTCCATTCAATTTTATCTGAAAACACTTTTATTTCTAATTGCCAATTTTTAACATTTTTTTTTTGTAAAATTGATTTAAAATTACAAATGCATAACGTTGTAGCAAATTTTCAATTACTCTGAACTCTTTCTTTTATATAAAAAAATTTCAAATTTTCAGGTGAAGAACCAGAATTCATTTATTCATTGCTTCACAGTTGTTAAAACAACTTTACATAAAAATTGTCAAGTACTCATTTGATCTTTATCTCAGAACTTTTTCCGCCTTTCTACCTTGTATGTATGCTTGCTATATGTATATTAATTATAATGTTATTAATATATATATATATATATTATTTATACATATATGATACATGCAGTATGCAAGATCTTTGGCAGAATTCATAGACCGCAACAACATGAAAGACATCGTCGTATGGAGCAGTCTGATGAGGAGTGCATTGAAGACGTGTGACACCTTGAAACCATTCGTTGCTACGGTATCCAGGTTGAAGGCTCTCAATGAGCTCGATAATGTCTGTGGTTTTTTTTTCTTTTTTTTATCGTTATTTTTAAAAGTTTTCATAAAAAAATGTTCGTAAAATAAATGTATTCCTGATTTTACAATTTTCCACAAATTTCCAAGTTTAAAAGTTTTTTTCTATAAATAATACATCGACGAGTTTTTACCAAATTGTCATTTGTTAACTTTCTTAATGCTTTAGTATATTTAGTGAAGTGGCATAAAATCTGTAAAACTTATTTGTTATTTAAATCTGACTGCTAATCTAAGCAAAAAAATGTTACGGCGTTATAATTATAATCTTTTCCCATCTTAAATTATAATATTAATGTAGAGTGATGTTGCATTTGTCATGATTTTGTTGTTATTAACAGTTTCCCAAATTGAGTTGAAACGTTGATGTTTTTTTAACAATTAAAAATAAATCTTCACCGAATTGCACATTTGCATAGAAACGATTTTATATTCTTAAACTTCAAGCGACAATTGTTTGTGACACGAAGTATGTGTGTATGAACAAATGTTTGCAGGGTTCGTTTGAAGGCCTGACCCAGGAAGATATAAGATGCAGATTTCCTGAGGAGTATACCCTGAGGGAAAATGATAAATATTATTACAGATACCCATCTGGAGAGGTGCGTTTCTTCATCTTCCTCTCATTATATTAGTTTATCTTATTCTCATATATACCATTTTTCGAGCTATTCGACTTATGTTGCTGGAAGTGTTGAAATGTATTTTTATTCCCGACTATTTTATTAAACTTTTTGCGCTTAGTCGTACCAAGACCTCGTGGTTCGATTGGAGCCCATCATTATGGAGTTGGAAAAGGTATCGAATGTGATGGTGGTGTGCCATCAAGCTGTCGCCAGATGTCTCCTTGCCTATCTCTTAGATGAGCCAAGAGGTTGGTTTTGGCTAGGAAGAGAGTGTTTATTTTTAATTTTGATATGAAATTAAGTAATATTTCAATTTATGAGTTAAATCTTTAAAATCCTTTAAAGTTCTGTTATTCTTCATCTTGTAAAACAATCAACATAAAGTGATCAAATAATTGCGAATAAATCCTGTTGAACCGCTGACAGAAGATGTGCCCTACTTGGACGTGCCACTCCACACCGTCTTTAAGCTCACACCTCACGCATACGGTTGCAAGGTTGATAGGATTTCTTTCAACATCCCTGCCGTCAACAACTACAGACCCAAACCAAAAGTCGGGATCATTCTTATTTCGCTTGTTTTCATTGGCATATTTGTAATACAAAATGTTCTCTTTTCAGAAGTTGCACGACAGATAAATACATACATGCCTGCATTAATACATGCGTTCATACATACATACAATCATACATACATACATACATACATACATACACACACACACATATATACACGAATGCATGCACCTCACACACAGGGCTTGGTCTCCGTGACATCATTTGATGAGAGTAGATTGAGAAGAAAGATGAGTTACTCCAGTTTAACGCCAACATCAACAACAAAATTGTAAAAACAAAACTTTAAACATTTTTTTAATCCGTTTCAATTGTTAGTATCATCTGTACTGGAATATAAAATGTAAATAATATATTTTAATATTATTATTTATTTGAATTAATTACAACAATTGTTTAAATTAATTTGTACAATACTCTGCGTTATTTAATGATTTTAAATCTTCCAATTCACAATCAGTTCAGTTGTCAGCATTTTACGTGCACACATTTTAATGTTATAACTTCTACTATGTATGAACTATTTACTCATATCTAACATGCCATATTCCGCTTTAGTTTCTCTTTAAATGTTCATTCTGTTCGAACTGTTGCTATGAGTTCAGTTAAAATTTCATATACAGTTTAATGTCTGTCAATTTAAAAATGTTGTAAATTGGAATATTAAAAAAATTCATCAGCTATGGAAAATCGTAAGAAATAGTGGAAGTTATAAAAGACAGTCAGTCAGACAGCGAGGAACTAATAATGGAAGAATGCAGATCAGAAAAACTCTAGGTTAGGTTGTGTCATCTGAAGTTGATCAAATGAAAATTACTATTAAAATAGAAAGACAAGTTACATGGTGAAAAAAGGATAAAAATAAAAGTTGTAGCCTGCTAAATGAGTCAGTTGCTTATGCAGCTGCTAATTATTTTTGGACTGATAAAATAAGGAAATATTGAGAACAGAACAAGGCATGCGGTGTGGTATGATGGTAACGCTATTGACGAGTTGATAATTGACTGAATGGCGAAATGATATTGCATTGGCGTACCAGAGTTTTAGAGCTCATTGCCTTTTTCTCATTTTAAAAAGTAGTAATAGGTTGTTTTTGCATTTTTTTTTAAAGAAAGTTCAACGTTTTTGTATTTTATATAATGTTCATACTGTAGAATAGAAATATACCGATGTAATTTTTATAGTTGAAAGTTTTGGATCTCTCTCTCTCTCCCTTCTCTCTTTTGAAATATATCCGCAATTGTTTTTCTAATAATTAGTTAGGACAATTTATTTCGTTAATTAGGACATTTAACTTGTTCATTCAATTGTTATCATCACTTCTTCTTTTACTGTCACAGCCGTTGTTCACCATTCAACGAAAATTTTGTACATAAATTACGTTTTATTTTAAAATTTCATTTTATTGTCTCTCGTTATTAAAGAAGAACAGTTCCGGTGTATTTACGATTTACCACCCATTATATTCTTAACCATCTGTTTTAAATTTATTACTTTTTGTATTAAAACGTAAATTTGTTTGTAAGAAAAACTCCAACATGCGATGAATATAATGTAAATTTGTTTCAACGAAAAATGTATCCTACCGTGTTATATGCTTTTTTTATTATTAGATTGATCAAATTTTCTTTCGTTGATTGACAGTCACAAAGATTTTGACAGCGCACTTCAATTGAACGTTGAAGTTTCAACTCTCGCCGACGACCCAAACGTCTAGGTTGTCGGTGTCTCCTCGCACCATTTATTATGGGTGCGTGACTTCATCGCTACTCCTGTTTCCGGCAATGTTTATGATGGAAAGAATACCAGTATGAAGTACCGTGGTCCAGCCAAAGCTTTAATAATAATGATGTTTGTGTATTTCCAGACTGATGTTATTTAAGGTGCTAATCAATTTTCGAATTTAAAAAAGAAGAAATAATCTCTGCGGAAGTTTTTTTTTCGAGATTTCGATATAAAATTTTGAAAGACCATTTTGAGGCAAATCCAATCAGGCACGTTATTACTTTTATATCCAACAAGTTAGTCGTTCAACTTCTGAACGCTTTTTACATTATATAACGAATTAATTGTGTTTGTACAAATGTTTCATATGACGTCGAATATTATTCATTTGATGAATGTGATTCAGTTCTGCAGATGTAAAAATTTGAGTTTCATAGGGGACTTGAATACGTTATTAATTTATTTCTGTGGTTGCAATATGAAAAAATTTTCATTAATAAGATGTACTGCAAAATTTTCAGACACACATAGGCACCAACACAGATACGCACAAATACACGTTCGCACACAAAAACATTTGTACGTATATATAGGAAGTGTTTTTGTAGGCTTAAAATCCAGAGACGAGGCTGTAAAGTGGGGTTTGTTGGAAGAAATTGTCGTCTGCGTTTAACGAGTTGTGCTGCGTTTGCGAAAATATATTTGACTTCCAATCTGTAAAATGAATTTATCGAATTGAGTTTTTGTTAAAAACAAAAATAAATAATTTTTAAAATAAATGAATCAATTTGAATGCATAAATATATAATTTATAATTGCAAGTGTCAAAACAAACCTGTGTGCATAGGATTGTTGGAATGTTGGAAGGAATTGTGGAAGGACCCATGGTAGAGGTAGGTGGGGTTGGGTTTGACGATGTACGGTGGGTGTGGGGACAGCCGTTGATGGTTCCAAGACGAATTGAAATAGTTGGGAGTTGTCAGTGGCTCCTGCTGGGCCAGGGGTGGTGGTGGAGGAGGTGGTGGTGATTGGAGGTGGAGTTGATGCGATGGATCCAATGGTCGATACATTTCAACAGGCTGCAAATATTTATTATATTTTCAACTAAATTAAGGATTTGTTTAGAATTTTTTTTTAATATTTGGCGTGATATGAGTTGAAAAAATTAAAATTGTTCTACGGGTTGCGGGGATGAATAAATTGAAAAATTTGATTACTCACGCCAGGATCAGTCGGCAATCTGAAATTGGGAAGGTAACCAGGATAGAATTGGGAGCATTCGTTCTGCAGGCAGTCTTTGTTGTAGAGTTGGCATGCGTGGAAATTATCTGAATATTTTGATGGCGTCATTAAATAAAATTGCTTCCAATTTTAACATCAACGTCATCACACATAGTACAAAATGATCCGAATTATTCAATCATTAAAAAATTAGGAATAGTTTTCAAAGAGACTTTTAGAAATTGTATCAATTTCACGCCCGGCAACTACAATTAGAAGTTTGCAACGTTGTTACAACATTGTTGCGACATGACGTCTGCAACTTTGCGGCAACATAAAGTCTACAATTAGAAGTTTGCAACGTTGTTACAACATTGTTGCGACATGACGTCTGCAACTTTGCGGCAACATAAAGTCTGCAACATTGTTGCAATACGACATCTGCAACATTGTTAAAAATGTGTGGATCGTTACTAAGATGAATTTGTGTTAAATGCCACGGAATGCTTTTGTGAATCACTTTAAAATCAGAACAAAATACTGAACCAAAAAATGGAAAAATTATACTTTGTATGTTTGTTTGGTAGAAATTGTGAGTTGTGCTGCCGTTGATGTGGCTTTGCAGGTTGTTCTTATCTGAATATGAATGCAAGACATCTCCGACCATCCAGTTATGACGATTGTCGTTGAAGTTGTTGTTGTCGTCGTCGTCATCATTGTTGTTGTTGCTGCCGCTACTGTTGTTCATGTTGTTGTTTGAGCTGCTGTTGGGCATCATGGCGGCTTTCATGAGGGTTTCGTAACCACGTGACGTGTTGGTGACGCCATTTTGTTTTCTCCATCTCGCTCGTCGATTGCTAAACCAGACCTTAATTTCAAAATTGTACTTATTTATTGAAGCTATTTTGTTAGTGATTTGTTAGCAACACGCTGAGTCGTCAGTGTTATAAATTGCTTCAACCGAATGTTATCAACCAAAACTGAGCCAAGTGCCATCAACCACAACAAAAAATTAATCACCCCCAACAACTACAAACAACAGGGACGGACAACGACGCTTGCCACCAAAAAACACAATAAACTTTCACAATCAGAATTAATAACGGTGAATAGCACAAAAACGACAAAGAAGAAAACAACGTCACCTGAATCCGTGCCTCAGTGAGACCAGATGTTTGCGCGAGTTCTTCCCTTGTGTAGATGTCTGGGTAGTGCGTTCTCGAGAAGGCCTTCTCCAACTGGGTCGTTTGTTCAGCATCGAATGTCGTCCTGCTCCTTCGCTGTTTGCGCAGCAGCTTGAAGCCTGGTTCGACGTCCACGTCAGACAACATGGAGTCTTAAAGGAAAAGTTGGAGAATAATTTAAATTTAAGTCCAAGCATCACTTTTATTTATGCCGTGCTAAGAAATGAATGTTTGTTATCTGGTTTGAGTCTTATGGTAAAATTTTGAAAATGAAAATTTAAAATTTTTGATGAAAAATTAATTAAAATATTTTATAATTATATGATATATTTTTATATGCAGATTCTAAAAATTATTTTTATAAGGTGTTTTGGGTTAAAATGTGTATTGCATAGTGCAATCATCATACTAGATGGCTGAGTTGTAATAATTAACAAGTAAAGAAATGAATGATGCACGATATAAGTGTCAAATACAACGGTACATGCATACTGAAAAAATTTCCAGCTTTACTCGATTGTATAATGGTTCAGCTAGGCTCATAGGAATTCGTTATACAATAAACAAACCAACGAGTCAAAATAAGTTTTTTAATAATTAAAAACGTTTGCATGTAGAAAATGTAAGCTGATGTTAAAATTCCGATTTGAGTTCGGAAAGTTTTTTAAAAATATGTATTTGAATAACTTCATACGAACAACCTTTCAACCGAACGACTCTTCATGTCACTCAGCAATAGTGAAAATGAATAAATCTATCAAAATGAATAAAGTTTCGAAACAAAAATAGTTCGGCCATGTTTAAACAAGTTTTTAACTTGTTGCAATTCTAACTCATACATAGCTGAGTGTTGCATCATTTCAAACTTGTTGTACGTCGTGCAATAATATTTTGTATTTCATTTTTGTTCCGTTCTGCATTCGATCTTTTTTGTGGCGTTTATTCAGACAGATAACTTTTAAAGCTGGATGCGTTCGACAAACTAGAGCTAAACTCTGCTGGTAGCATTGATGTTATCTTCGGTAGTATGGTTGGTAATAATATTGTGGCACATAACTTGTTGTTGTGGTGAAAAGACACTGCAGACGCTGTTATTTCTAACGCAACCACTGTTTGCCCTACTTCACTTTAAAACAATGAACTGAGCATATAAAATAAATGTGCCGATAATCATGTGACGCTACGTTAAACTCATGTTAATTGCACCATGATTTTTTAAGGTTTGTAAATGATTAGCATGAATGCATATTATAAATAAAATAAATAAATATTGCAAAACGATACTTTACAAGTTTACGCAACATATCAACATTGTACATCGCCTAAACTGATTTTAATAGTTTCAAACTTGTTTTAAACGCAAATTTATTGCCACTATTTCCTTCATTCGATAATTTATTACATTTTACTTTTTCTAGTGAGTTCACAAGTAGAAAATGATCTAAGAAGGAGCGTGATTTTGCATATGCCTTCCATTTAACGAACTTTCATCTCGTTCACTTCACATCAACTCAACTCCGTAGTAACATTCGTCGCTGATGTTTTAAAATGTTCGGTGATTATTATTGAAATAAAAGGCTTTGAAGTCTATTGAAAGTTTGAAAAGTTAACTATATCGTGTTTTGTGCGGTGTTTTATTGCGAAAGAAATTTTTTAAACCAAATGATTGAGATGACCGAAGAGAATAATGTTGCAATTTTGTTGTTGTTGGTGCGATCGTTCGCTTTCATATAGTCATGTTTCACACAGCTTCCTCAATAAAACATCCATCTACCCACATAACTTTCCAAAATTTCATCACCATGATCATTATCAGGAACGTTAACATCATGAACATCTTCATATTGATATGTTTGGCTAAAAAATGTTCACCAAGATGAGGAACATTATTTATCTCCAACAAATAATTTGAACATAATAATCATCATCGTCGCCGTCGTCATTATCATCGTCAACATGATCATCATCATCGTCAACATCATGATCATCATCATCGTCAACATCATCATCATCGTCAAAATCATCATCATCGTCAAAATCATCATCATCATCATCGTCAACATCATCATCATCGTCAACATCATCATCATCATTTTCAACAGAGCCGCTTTGGTTTGTGATTCGTTCATAGCTTTTGTAAATTATGAATACATTAGCTATATATCGTATATATATATATATATATATATAACATTTTAAATATTTATATATATATATATATATGTAACTATACATTATATATATATATATATACATGTGAGTGAGTTTGCGTATATGTGTGTGTGTGTATGTATGCGTATAAGTAACAATATAAGCTTTAACTCCTCATTCATCAGCAATATTTTAAAATACACTAAAAGATATTGTTAAAATAAATCTAGGAATGTAGAGTACGTACATACATAGAGCGCACATATTTATTTGACTGGTAGGTTGTCTTGTTACTTTTTAAAACAGGTATGCATCAACGTGTTGCATTGCATGCTGTCTTGCTGTGGAAAAGTCACGTCGGACCGCATGGTCCATCGTATATTATTTATTACCAGCACATATTTGCAGTTTGTTTGTGTGTTTGTTGGATAGGTTGTTGTGTGTTTAGTTTAATAGATGTTGCCTGATGAGTGACAATCAAATTATCATTTAATTAATTTCTGCTACTCATTGACCAAATTTGAAAATTGAAAAATTGTGAAGAAGTATGACGGAGTTTTGGGAGTCATACTGGAGAATCCAAGAATTTTACAAGAACGTGTGATGTGTCGATGAGAGTGAGCTGAATTTGTTAAATTCAACATGAAATTTATTTTTTGCACTTCAGAAAGTGTGAAAGCATGTCGTTGGAGGTAGTCAAGCAAGCTCGCGTGCGTGCGCACACCCAAAAATCATTACTATCATCACTACTATCATCATGCCGACAATGATCGTCGTCATCATCATCATTTTTTTCATCGTCATCGTCATCACCATTTAGCCAGCACGCATGGTGCTAACAAGTTGAGTTAGTGAATAGAAATGAGCCAATCAACAAACCATTCATCATCAGCCTCAACTAACCTGTACTTGTTATATCACTATCATCATCGCATCATATCATCACCACCATTCTCGTCCACCATAATCATCACCACATCATATCATCACCATCATTCTCCTCCATCATCACCATTACATCATATCATCAGTATTTAGGATTTAGATAGAAGAAAAGGAAACCGTTAACAACATACTTTTCACGTAATATCTATTTCTTTTATAAGATAAGTCAAACTGTTTGCATTTTCAGTAATAAATAAAAATGATAACAATTACCTCCATTCATGTTACCACATATCGAACACGTCTGGGTTTCTGTTAACAAATTGTACATTTTTACGCACAAGTGATTGAGTACTAACATGAATCTAGTAAAAAACCGTAGTGCGTTTTTAGTATTTTTACTAACTAAACTACTAATCAAAAAACTTGATTCGCAAAAATTTTAACCGGTGGTCAGCAGTGTTTTTGATCCAAGTTTTGCTCAGTAAGATTTAATTTAGGGTTTTGTATCGAACTTATAAATAGTATGATGACAACTGCATGTTTCAATCTACAACATCTTACGACGATGATAACGACGATGATTACGATGATGATAAGATAAGGATTATGTAATATTGATAGCGAATTTATATGATGACGATGTTAATCAGAATGAAATGATGATGGTGGTGAATGCTACAAAAATGACGATGATGAAAATTATGATGAAGATGACAGAACCTGTGGTGATAGTAATATTAATGAGGATAATAATGATGATGATGATGATGTAGAAATCTATAAGGCTATCAAAGATGTTATGATAATGATGACCAAATAAATGATAATGACGTCTCTAAATGTGAAGAATTTGATGATGAAGACTATGATAGTTGCGATGATGAAGATGACATTGATGATGACGACGATGTATTCAAAGCCCGAATTAACAACACAAACATACAAACGAACGAACAAATGAACGAACGAACGAACGAACAAACAAACAAACAAACATAGAGAGCCAGAAAGAACTTATTTGAATATCAGTGAATGAAATTAATTACTACTGATGGAAATTCTTGTAATTCAAAACCAGCCAACCAATTTTACTTACGTAACCGTTCATATATGATGTATGCTGCGTATATTAAGTTATTCAAATAGGTGTACGTGTTTACATGTGTACAGTATAGAAATGTATAAAATAACGTATAATGTGTATTATGTGTACACACACTTTACATATTATTATTTTTGAATATTTTAATCTTTTTAGCTTAAAAATATTGAAATAATTAAAACTTTTGAAAATATTTCAAAATTTAAAAAAAAAATTCTATTTAAAACTCTTCTGAGTTTTTTTCGTCGATACATTTTTAAAAGTTTGACGTAAGGAAGTGAAAATTATGGTTCGGTAGTTCAGTTTTAAAATATTAAAAATTGTAGCAAAGAAGCTATTGATAATGGCTTTGACAAAAAAATAGGATTAAAAATAAATTTAAGTTATCATTTCTAGAAAAGTAATCTATGTTGACGATTGAAAAAAAAGATAACGAACCGTCTCCATCAACGCTGGCCGAAGACAATCCCTTGGTGATCTCGCTATCATTCTTGCTGTTGTTGCTGATGTCGTTATTGTTGATGCTGCAGTTGTTGTTGGAGTTGTTGTTGGGTGGCGTTCTTGTTTGCTTTTGAAGTCTGCTGATGGAGCTGACGCTGGGAACACTGTTCTCGTCACAAATGCCTTCCTTGATTAGCCTCTCTCTGATCTCCCAACTAAATATGCTCGGATCCTCCTTTTTGTACTCTTCAATCTTATGTCGTTTGTGCAATAAAAATATTAAAATAATTTCATATAAACCATGAACCGAGTTAAATAAATAAATTAATTTTAATTAATTTTTGAAATAATTGAAAACAATATTTGCAGAACAAACACATCTTACTTTTTTCTCGACGTCTTCCATCTTAACCCTGGGCTTGCTGCCCCCGATAGCCCCGGGCCTGATGCTTCCTGTTTCTTGGTACCTCTGCAAAATCTTACTGACGCACCCGTGTGACACGCAGAGGGTTCGGCTGATGACACACGGCCTCACACCCTGAGAGGCCATCTCAACAATTTTCAGGCGAATGTTCAGTGGGAGGGGTCTGCCGTTGATGAACAGGCCGCCGAGCTGGTTCACTTTACCTTGACCTTGACGATCAATCAATGAATCGTTATTCATTTGTTCAACTTTTTAACTTTATTTTATAAGAAATGATTACGTTTTTAAAACCATAATGACATGACGTTCGGAAGCAAATTTAGAAGGTGTACCGTGAAATTTTAAACCATCTTCACCCCCGTGTTGATCAATCAAAAAGTTTGCTTCAAATGTTTATTCTTGAAATGAATGAAAACGAAACTCATTTTCTGTGTTCAACAATCTTTGAAAAAATCTCCACAAGCCACATTGCCATGCCGATACCAAAAATTGAAAGTATTCAAATATTTGGCGACCTTAACTCAACAATTTTTAAGGGCGTCCACTTTTTTCGTCGTACCGTGGTCTTAGTTGCCATAGAAGAGAACAGCTAACTAGATCAATTTGCAAATTCAACTGCAATTTTGTTCTTTTTGATTTTTAAAGGCAGAACCGCTCACGTGCTGTTTTATAGTTATACCTATCGTTCGTACCACAAAATCTGTACTATTCACACCACGCAATGTATGCACGCGCAAATACCACATCATACGTTCATGACGTATGACAGTCTTTGAGTTTTGGACAGAGGGTATTCGGACCAGTTCATCGGGTAAGAACAGCGCGAGGCATAGCCCTTTTACCGACTGAGCTAAATCACCGGCCATTTTATCAGCGATTCATTTTTTACAAATCTTTTGAAATCATTTTAGAATAAAATTTATCAACTTATAAATAGCTATATTGAAGAAAAGTTGTGAAAAATTTAAACAAATACAATAAGCTTAAATTTGGAATGTGCGTATTAAATTTGTTGCAGGAAGTCGAGGAAAGCGACGCACCTGGATTATGTGCGAGTTACGTTCGAGTGAGTTTCGTTGCTGTCTGCTTCGTAATAAATTAACTCACACTTCAAATATTAACTTCTCGTATTAACAATTGCCATTTATTTATGAGTTTAAACTTGTTAAGTTAGCTAACTTTCAGTGTTTTTGTGATCAACATTTCAATCCGGCAAATCAAATGCAACTATCATGAAACGCCTTCGTAAGCATATTTCACGCACAAAAAATCACTGATGTGTCTGAAAGTAGTCTAAACTTTATTTTAAAATATTTGTCTCCCCTTAGGAGCTACAATCTTTTCAGAATTAAGATCCCATCATGCTGCTTTTCCTAACAGCTGTGCCACATTTCAAATAAATTTGTTTCTTTTTCAAATGTTTCATAACTATGAAAAAACCGCTCTAAGTGTCAGTATTAAAAAATCTCTTACAGAAAAAAATACACAAGTGCCAACATAGAGAAGCATCTAGCGAAGCACTTTTTTGCGCCGCGAGGAAGCTGATGATGCATTCAACTGATTTAAAAAAATTATTCAAGTCATGTAAAATTAAAAGTTAGAATATTCAAAATATGAATGAGAATGGAGCTTTGATATAATTGAAGAATGAAGTTTCTTCGAGACAATGTGTGAGACAAAATTGTTGCTAGGAATATACAATTCAATAAATAATGTCTCAATAAAGTGAAGTGAATGCTTCAAAAATTAATTTTATTTATTTTTGCAATTAAGTTCGGCAACTTGGGTACAAAAGTTTACACGTACAAAATTGTTGAAAATAGTAATTTATTTAAGATCAACTTACTAACCATTTCTAAGAATTTGCTTGTTCATGATGGTGTTTTCCAACGAGTATCCAACTCAACTCAACCGACACCTCGCTCAACTCAACTCCAACCTTGATGGATTATCCAACTGTTCTATAGATTTTAAATGCGAACTTTTAATACAAATAAAAAAATTGTATTGTATTTAAAAAGAAAGTTACGAAGTAATATCCGAAGTATGTAGGTATCCTTTCTTTAGTGTAGATAGATATCCTATCCTTAGTGATTTTATGAAAGTTAGTTTTATGAGACGGATTGACGACTAATGTTCACCAGCATAATTCATTAAATTTCTATTAAATATACTCCATCATCAAAGAAATCTATGAAAACTTGGTAGGATGTCATTTTGCTCGATTTCTAGTGGGCGGGATTGTTTTTAGGAGGTGGAGTTAAAAAGTTCATCATCCAATCATATTGCGATGTTGTTGAAGTGTGTGACATTGTGATGCTTCATGATTGTGAACATGTTTTCTTCCTTCAAGTTATCTTTAACTCACAGCGTATACAAACAGACCGAAACAAACACGTAAAAACGCGCAGACATGTATATACATGCACACACATACATACACTGATGCATAGAGTACCACAAATAAACATAAATGCTCATCTAAAACATACACAAACATGCACACTTTCACACACGCACTCACAAATGTACACACACACGCACAAGTACACACATATCTATATATGAGTGTCAAATATAGAGAAGTTTAAATTTTAAACCAATAAAGGTTTCATATTTTTACTACTCTGATTTGTTCATTTAAATGTAATTTAATTAGATTTTATGATCTACCATCGATAAGCTTGTGTGTGCGTGCATGTGTGTATGTGTGAGTGTCTATGTGTGTGTATGTGTGTGTATGCTTGTTTGTATTTTTGTATGTATAAATGTTTGTATGTTTGTGAGTGTATGTGCGTGTATACATGTACGTGATGGTGATACTTAATAATTATGTATTTTGCATGTTTATATATATGTATATAATTCCGTCTATTAAAACATAATTAATATACGTCGTGCATGTGTTGTATATACGTTGTATGTATGTTTACATGTTTTATTCGTGTACACATAAAGTAAATAATCGTACGCACAGCATATATGTTGCATGTATTGTATATATACATATATTTGTGGTGTGTATGTTTTGTATTGTATGTGTGTGTTATGGAGCAATATGATGAACTTGATAACTTTCACAGCAGCGTTTGCAGACCTGTCAGCATGAATAGAATATCAACATCAATATTTTGATTGGTTTGTCATTATGATATGATATGATATTAATTAATGAGATAACGAGGAGAGGACAGCTACTACTACTACTATTATTATTACTACTACTACCGATAGTACTACTATTACTACTACTACCGCTATTACTACAACTACTACTGCTGCTGCTGCTGCTACTACTACTACTGCTACTACTATTATTATTATTATTACTGCTTCTATTACAACTACTACCACTACTATTCCTACTACATCTTTATTTCTGCATCTAATACTACTACTATTACTTCTCCTGATACTAATTATAATAATAAAAAAAAGAAGAAAAACGACAACATCAACAATGGTATGATTCATCAATAAAATTTAAGTTGCAAAAAACCAGTATCACCAGCTAACATTAACATGACCTACATCATCAGCAGCTAACATCAACATAACCATCATCATCAGCAGCTAACATTAACATGACCAAGATCATCAGCAACTAACATTAACATGTCCTACATCATCAGCAGCTAACATTAACATGTCCTACATCATCACCAGCTAACATTAACATGACCTACATCATCACCAGCTAACATCAACATAACCATCATCATCAGCAGCTAACATTAACATGACCAAGATCATCAGCAACTAACATTAACATGTCCTACATCATCAGCAGCTAACATTAACATGTCCTACATCATCACCAGCTAACATTAACATGACCTACATCATCACCAGCTAACATCAACATAACCATCATCATCAGCAGCTAACATTAACATGACCAAGATCATCAGCAACTAACATTAACATGTCCTACATCATCAGCAGCTAACATTAACATGTCCTACATCATCACCAGCTAACATTAACATGACCTACATCATCACCAGCTAACATCAACATAACCATCATCATCAGCAGCTAACATTAACATGACCAAGATCATCAGCAGCTAACATTAACATGTCCTACATCATCACCAGCTAACATTAACATGACCTACATCATCACCAGCTAACATTAACATGACCAACATCATCAGCAGCTAACATTAACATTGCTAGGGAGCCTATCAACTTCAAACAAATTAATTTCATCCTTAAATAACTACGGTCACAATTGCTACAATGAAAGTTTTTTTTATAACAATGATGATAATATCATTAATAATATTGAAGACATCCTTTTATTTTCTAACTCCAAATACAAAATATCAACAATGAAATAATTATAAAATCCTATTAATCTAAAATGCTCGTCACTGCAAGTGAGTACATTTCGGAGGTGCTGGTTTAACTGTTCAATTGGGGTTCAATTATTCTTATTATTTTGGCGTTATCAATCAAATTTGCCAACAACTTTTGGTAAATGTGTATTAATGATATTAATAATAATAATAATAATAACAATAATAATAATAACGCAAATAAATAAATTTAATGATAATATTATGATTTTTGAATAATAAATAATTTACGTGGCGGCAAGGAACATGACGAGGGTGAGAAGTGCAAAGTTGAATGAACGAACGAATGAATAAATGAATGAATAAGAAAACGAACAAATAAATGAATAAATAGATGAATGACTGTATAAGTGAATGAGCCATCAAACGAACGAACGAACGAATGGATGAATGAATGAATGAGCGAGGGAAAGAAAAAAAAACGAATGAGTATATGAATGATTAGGTGCTGAGGTTGATGAGTGTCAATGCACAATTTGTGTGCCTGCATAATAATGAGTGTGTGTTTGTATGCTGTGAATGTGCATGTAGGTCGCTATGTATGTGTGAATGTGTGTCTCAGTATGTTTGAGTGTATACATGTATTTGAGACCCTTCGTTGATGTATGTATGCATGCATGCATGCATGTATGAAGGTATGTGTATGCGTGAATTATGTGTATGTTTGTATGTGTTCTTTTGCTGAAGTTTATGTATTATTTGTAATGTGTGCAGGGATGCCTTTACGAGTTTGTATGTATTTGGTTTTCTTAATTATTGACATTTTTTCAAACTTTCTGAAGGATTATACAAAAAGAGTGCACAGTACAGTGCATTCAAGTTTGTATGCCTGGATGTGTGTGTGTGTATGTGTGTGTTGTGTGTGTGTGTAGGCAGACATTTGTTGCAATTCTATTTCTGCTTCATGGTGTTGCCTGATAGTTGTACTACTTATGTACGAACATAACACATCTGATAGTTGTACTACTTATGCATATACATATACACACACGCGCACACACGCGTACACACACATGTACACACACATATAAATATATTACTTACATATTTGAATAATTTATTTAAGTTTATTAATTTATTCAACATTCTTAGTAATATGAAAGTAATCTTTTAAACCATCTCTATAACTTTCCTAAAAACTTTTACATGAATAATTTTATAAATAATTTAATAATATTTTGTATAATATTATTTCTATAATTATCATCATATTACGATTGTTGACGACACAGCGATTCGAGACGGCAATAAAATCGTAAATGATTAAAAGTCACCAACATACGTCGGACACAGCTTGATGATGCGACTCTGGAGTGGTGGTGATGATGATGGTGGTGGTGATCTGTTGATCATGATGATGATGGTGCTGATGATTGGGATGTTGATGAAGATGATGAAGATAATGGGAATGATGATGATGATCATGGTAACGATGTTGTTGATGTTTGGATGGTGTTGATGATGTTAGAACAACAAAAACTACAGCAGCAATAGATAAAATGAACGACATTGCAGTTGCTGTAGCTGCTGATGGCGATGATGATGTCACTACCGATGACAATGTCACTTCTTTAGCTGCTGCTGATGATAATATTTTCATGTTTCAATCAAACAAATGCAATTAATTAATTTATAGATTGAATATTACTTAATCACTCACTACCTGGAAATGGACCCCACATTTCAGTTGCACTCAGCTGTTCTCTCTTTCCCTCTCTCTCTCTTTCTCTTTTTTTCTCTCTCCCCCTCCTCTCTCTCTCTGTTAGATGCATTGCCTACCATCATGTTTGTGTGTGTGTGTGTGCGTGTGTGTGTGCAGGCGTGTGTGTGTACGTGAGTGTTTTTGTGTTTTCATGTGTATGGGTCTGTTTGTATACCTGTTTGTGTCATACGTATCTGTGGGTATGTTTGTTTGTATACATACATCATGATTCAAAGATAATATTAATCAAATAAACATTAGCACCAACATCAATGCGTAATGTGTGTGTGTGTGTGTGTGTGTGTGTGTATGTGTTTGTACGTGTATGTGTGTGCGCGTGCGCGCGTGTATGTGTGCGCGTGTATGTGAGTAAGTGACGTGTGTGATGTTTTGTTATGAGGCTGCAAACGTGTTTAAAGATGCATATATTTTAAATAAATTAGCATGTAAATTACCTTACTCGGTGTGGGTTAGTTAGCAAATGTGTATTTTATTATTTCCATGTAGAATCTGACTGGACCCAATAATTTTGGCTGGTTATCATTTGAGTTGATAACATGTCGGCATCATGAATCCCCATCAGAACTTACCACAATCTATAAAAAATTATGAAAACACTTTTAATTAAAAAAATTTAAGACAGGTTCTTCACCTACGTGCATGAATTTAAAACGAAATCTGGAAAGAGAAGCGTTTGACACTGTACTAGATCGACTATTTTCTTTAGAAATTGGCATTTTATCAACATTTATTACACAAAAAAAAAAAATCTTTTAGTCATTGCCATCATCATCCTAATAATTACCATCATCATCTTAATCATTGCCATCACCATTTTAATCATTGCCATCATCATCTTAATCATTGCCATAATTTACATCGTCATCCTTACATCATTGTCATCATCATCTTAATCATCATCATTCCCATTAACATCATTATCATGATCATCATGGTCATCGCAACCATCATCTGTATCATTATCAGCATCGTTTACTCGCGTTATTAATTCTATGCTGATATTAATTTCTTTTATTAACATCGTAAAATGACTTCGTCATCATTTTAATCGTTGC